TCACTCAGACTTTGGTTCTAGTCCGAGGCTTTATTATTTTCCAAATATAATTGAATAATTATTATTCACTTATAAATTATAATCTGTAATTATAGTTATAAGGAATAATGTTCTTAGCATTAAATAGCAGGATACCCTGAAATAATCAATTTGAACAATTATCCAAGTTTTCAAGTTTACATTGAGTTTCAATGTAGAGTCATTCTTTATTTGTTAATTTATCTGGCAATGACTTTCTGAGCATTTGCAATTGCTGTACTATCCTTGAGAAACTTATTGGTGATTTCCCAATCACCAAGGTCATGGTAAACCCTGATAAGAGGTATGCTTCCATAACATGAGGTCCAAAACATGACATTTCGAAAGAAACATGTAGTGTATTTGGACTGCTATATTTTTTTAAAGCATTTACTCATGGGGCAACATAAAATTAGTTTGGTTAGTCAAAGGCTATTTCTCCACATGTGAAGGAGGGAGATTAGAACCTTCTAAATGTTCCCTTCTATATCAGTAGCATTTTGGAGTAATGATCAATGTAGAAAATATTTTCATTACCAGACAACATCTATAGGGTATTTACTTTTATGTCCAATAGTGTACAAAAAGAATTGTATAGTTATGCTCTTATTCTCAAAGAGTTTAAAATTGAATATGTAATTAATGTTATTTCATATTGTCAGTATAAGTAAAGTCGCAAATTGGAATTGGCAATCTCAAATCATGTGTGTATATTTGACGTGTGTCACCAGGGTGTGTGTGCGTGTGTGTGTGTGTGGAATGAAGTAAGTTAGAAAATCATTCATAATTTTAGTGGAACATTTATCTGTGGGCCTAGGACAGCTTTATTTGACAACTCAGACAATACGTCATGAATTAGTAGTCAGACAGTAATGCCAACGTTCTCTAGCATTTGCCTCTCTGTTGGAGAAGTGAATAGCCATGTTAACAAAAGTAAGTGCATATCCCCCACCTCATCCCTACTTCTTGTCCTGGCCTCTCTATGTCTGCTGACTATATCACCAAGCTATTAACTACTTAGTCTTTAAAACGTTACAGAACTGGCTCAGGTGGTTAGAGAGCAGTGTTATAACACCAAGGTCAAGGGTTTGTATCCCCCTACCAGCCAGCCACCAAAAACAAACAAACAAAAACACCAACAAATAAAATGTTACAAACCCCTCTCCCTTGATAACCTCCCCCACATGAAATTAATTGTCACATTTTGCTGATTCTACCATTGTAGTGACTTCCTACCTGTCCACAATTCCTAATATCAGGCCTCCAGTGCTCCTCACCTGGACAATCACAAAGACTTTCTAACTAGTGTCCCAACCCCACTTTACCCCCTTCCCCTGGGCGTTCCAATCCTCTAATGCCAGGCTAGCATTTCAGCACATGCAGCTGACTATGCCATCCCGTTCAAAACCACACTGCTCTCAAAATAAAGTCCAAAGTCTCCATTGAGGCAATAATCTGACCATAAACTATTTCCAGTCTTACTTTGACTGCTCTCTGTCTGCCTTGTGCTCTCTAAAATTCAGCAAACGGGCTATTAGCACTCTCTGTAGAAGACGTGCACTTTTTGAAGTTATTTGTATATAGGCTGTTCTTTCCACCCAGAATCACCTTCTCCGCTGCTGTACTTAGAATGTCGAATGCCTGTCTGCAACACAACTTCCTCCCCCCACCACACTGCACACACACATCTAGACCAAAACTGATTTCATCTTCCATGGGCCTCCCATAGCAGTTTGTTATTCTCTCTGGTAAAAAGATGACCCACATTGGTGTCACCTTGGCTCTTCTGTTCCAGACTGTAAGCTCCCTGAGAGCAGATACCATGTTTTGCTCACTGTTTTGTGTCTGCTCACCTAGAGCATTTAACAACTTCCTAGCACCCAAAAGGAGTACAGTAAATATTAGTGGAACTGAAATGCTTCTGAAGGCAGAAGGTTGGCCTGGGTGACCTCTGAAATGTCCTCACTGCCGTGGCATCTTCGAAGGCTCCGTTGGTGCCAGGCCTATGTGTGTCATAGCCTCAAACCTACCCAAATCTGCCCAGTAACACAGCTCTATTTCAATATCCAATATGTGGCTGAATCATTAAACTTCTTTCAGAGTACCAGGGGTATCCCAAGTGCAATAGGTACCCTCCTTTTAAAGCACCCCTCCAAAACCTAGTGAGAGTATGCCACCCTGAACCCAAGGAAATGAGACTTAAGTTAAATTTAGGAATATTCACATAATATTAAAAAAAATAAGTGACAGTCCTCATAGCACAGCATAGAAGAGACACTTAGATTTGAAACCCAGCTCTGTCACTTTCCCTAGTAGTGGATCTTGGGCAATTCCTAAACCTTGCTGAGTTGTAGGGTCTTCATCATTAAAATAAAAATACAAATACCTGAGATATCATCTGTGTTGTGGGTGGTGCATATTAGATGCTTGATAAGCATTAATGAGCTTCTTTTCTCTTTAAACTGAGCACATTATGTGAGTTCACTCAAAATGATGGAGCCCTGGCTCTGGAGTTAAACCTGGCCACAGTGCTATTCTCTGAACCTCCATTTCTTTCTTAGAAAAATAGAGTTAACAAAAACTACTTGTTTTGAAGATATGCTCGATGCTCCTCTTATCCAAGCACAGAGCTTAACATCTATGGTTTAAACTATATTTTTAATTATTTAGGAGAGGGCTCATCCTGAGCCAGTCCTTTTAAGACCAATGTTACACACCTGGGAGAAGGCTAGTCAGGCCACAAGGTACATTCTACCGTATGAATATGGAACAGAGAAAAGCTAACTGACCCTTACAGGGATGTCAGAAGACTATCAATTTTTAAGAAATTTTACATGTTTCAGTGTGGTTTCAATTCCCAGCACCAGACTGATCTTGAAGTCGAGAAACCGTGTGCTGATTAGGAGTGGATTGGGGTCACACAATATGACATCATTTTATGGACAGGATGAGTGACATTTGTCACCAGAGTCTTAGCTAGATTGCTTCTTTAAACAGGCATAGAAGGGCTCCATGTTATCAGGTGTAAGGAGGAATGAGACAGGGTGAGGTCATTGTGGTTCCTTCCCTTCTCTTCTCTGGAAAAAAGCCAGTGTGGTGGGTTTCCTACAAGCCCCAGAATACATGACTCACAGTTCACTAGGGGAGCTGACTTTAGCAGTGTGCATTTCTCTTAGGAAAGTGTCAGCCCAATTTGCTGCAACTCTTCACCTTTGGGCTTCCTTTTCTCAGGCTTCTAAAGAATGATGTACATAAATATAAAGGACTGTGCAAAATGCATGAAGATATATCAGGATCACTGGAGTTTCAGCATATATTCTGATTTTGAAACAAGAAAATCAATTCTTCTCATCTGAAGCCAGAATGACAATTAGATCTCATTGAAGTGAGAGATAATTTACTCAGCCCTCCCTAAAGTCCCACTGTGCCATTTGATTTCAGTGACTCTGTTTTTTTTATGCTTATGTGATCTTTCATAGGTAACTCAGAACAAAATGGAGAGGAGAATGGGGACCAAGACATGCAACTAAAAGATGTATGTTTTCCTTTCTATATTTATGTGGATTTTATGAAGTTCTGGAACCTGGAAATTGACCAGAAAATAGTAAAATATATATTTATATTTAAAACACACCCATTGCTCCTTTTAGTACGATCAGATCTCTCTAATGTCATAGACCTCAAAGAAAAGTGCTTTGGAGGAACAAAAACATAAAAAGGAATAATAACATGCCCTGATAGCCAAATGAACACACAAGTGCAGATCACTTTGCAAAATGTTCACGATTCCAGAACATAAATGCAGACACGCCCTTAAAAGAAGCGGTAGAAAGGAGAAAAACTGGCCAGCTTCCCGAATCTCACTGAATCCAACTGGACCGGGTGGTGACGGAGATCAAAGGCGTGCAGTGATCGGATGGAGGGCCAGGAGGAACTGGCATCTTCAAGGCTGCTGGAAATTAGCCAACTCCACCACACCAGGCAAAAGCAAACTGAAAGTAAATATGGGCGAGTAATCGAATGCACATGGGGGACTCTTCACAAAATGCAAAGCTTATGTGTTCCCAAAGGAAACGTTCCCAGGTCTTCCACAGCATGTACTCAACAGCAAAATCAAAATGTCCCCTCTTCTAACCTACAGCCTGAACCGCTGGCTTCTACTAAAGGAAAATGGGCAAAATGAACTTTTGTCATGGTCTTCGCCACTCTCCCTCCCTTCTGCACTTCTAAACCTCCCTCACCTGAGTACCTTTGTCTCTCATCTCGTTTCTAAGAAAAGTGAGACTTTTCAAATTTGGAGGAATTCTCTCTGGAACAGCAAATGTTCCTAGCTCTGCTGTTTATGATGTCTTTGGTGGAAGGTCACCTCAGTTCCTCAGAGATGTGATTTTCCAGGATGCCTTCATTTCCATCGTGCCCTGGCGTCCTCTGACGAAGAGCCTTGGTAAGACCACTCCCCTGAGTTTAGGGAGAGGGTCCACATGGGCCGCAAATGCCATTTGCACCACTAATCCTTACCTTCCTTGTACTTTTCTTACTACTTGCATATTTGGGTGAAAGAGATTAGTTTATAGATCCACTCTTGCTCCCCAGCCACACACATTTCCTAAATCCCAACCCTCCTTAGAAGTGTAAAACAAAGGTTACAAATTCTTTTCTGCAGGTTCACAGTATTACAGACGGATGGTATCAGAATGGAGGCATCGGAGAGGGAAAATCTTGAAAATGAATGCCTGCATAAAGATATAGAGAGAGAAAAATAAAGGAGGACATTCTTTTAGAATTTGTTGTTCCTTTAAAAAAAAGATTACATTCTCATAGAGGAAAATGTAGGGTAAAATACAGCAGCATTTAAAGGATTTCCTCTCACCAAATTGTCTCCGGTCCCTTGTGTTTAAGCCTTGCTGAGTACTTTGTTTACGGTCCCTAGTGCGGTGATTTGCATCCCTCTTTCTGGGTTGCTGCTGGTGGGGCTGGCAGCTGTCTCAGTCCGATTCTGGCCGGGAAAGGTAAGGATCTTTGCCTTGCTCTTTGAAAGATCTGAAAGGGAAATGTTGAATGCCTGTGGGGGTTGGAAGTTGTAGGTAGAGATGTAATTCATGTATGGGAGGCCTCCAGAAAAGTTCCCAGACGTAAAGAAGTTTCCTAAAGCCATATGCTTTAAAAAGAACCAGAGAGATTTCCTCTTTCTTTTGAAAAGAGTGGGCTTGCAGAAAGAAGGCTGACTGCATTGTGGATGAAATTTTGCATTTGGGACCAGGTGTCCCTGCAGGGATCCCCAGGGGTGTTTAACACATTATAAGCACAGAGTGGAAGATAGAATATACATTTAAAGGTATCAGGGATGGATCACTAAGAATTCTTTCTGAACATGAATTTGATGAGGTAAAAAGCTGCATGTGTCAGTGGTTATAATGATAGGTATCTATTCTTCTGATACAGTTTATGCTTTGCGTTTCACTTTGAATTTATCAATACAAATCCCCACCTGTCTACTCAGAGCCTGGAGATGTGTATCTGCATATCTAGGGAGATGCACCCACATCGTGGAAGGAGAATTAGGGTGAACGAGACACTTGAAGCCTGAGAAGGCTGAAGAAAGCTTTGGTGTTAGAGGTAATGACAGACTCGTCCACACTCCCAGGGTGCACAGATATGCTAAGTGTTCCTCATTACAGATTCAGCCAAGAAAGGTTCACCATGAAAAAGTGGTGAGCATTTGGCTTTGGTAATAGGGAAGCATGATCTGCAACTGGATAAGGTGATACTCAAAGCTTTTGTGGGGTTATTGGGATATTGGGGGGGGGGGAAGTAGAGAGAAACTGCCCCCAGAATTCAAAGGTGGGAAGACTGTTGTTCCTTTAAGGAGCTTCTCAAGAACCTCCAGTTTATGTAGTCAGTGGCCCTCCAAATTACCATCTGCCCAGGGCAACTTAGGCAAGTTCTGAAATGCCCTAGTTCTAAGTATCCCTGTCTTCAACACCAAGTGACAGCACCCCTGCTGTCCTGATGGATGATGGCTCTGTCCCTTTAGGTCCCACATTTTAACAGTGTGAGGATAGTGGTTCCTGAGGCCCTGTTGGGGGCGGGGGGGGGGCTGTCCATCCCACTCAGCCAGGACTCAGGGACTTTTCAACTTTACTTTTTGAAATGAAGAAGCCCTCTGTCTTCCATTCCAGAAAGAAAGGACTTCCGATCCCTCTCCCTCTGTGAAAATTCAAGGTGTTGTTACTAGATGAGGCTGGAAAGAGTGAGGTATCCCAGGACAGTGGCGAGGGGTCTGAGAGTACCCAAGCCCTACGCAGCAGTTAGAGAAATCTGACAATCTGGCAGGAAGAAGGAAAATAAATCTCTTCCAAGGTTCTATTTGGATTTGTAGATTTGCTGTATTAATTAAAAGATGTTGACACTTTCACAGATTTAAAAAATGGGGGAGTAGATAACTTTCAGCTATAGAAGGGTAGGGATGATCTTATAATAGTTTCCCAGTATTATCTCCATTTTTTCCCTCAAAAAGACTATCTGGGGCTTTATGTATTTCAAGTACTTTAAAATTTCAAATAATTTGTCTGTAAGAAAGTATAACCCTATTAGGCCATTTATGAGGACGGGAAATAGACTTTTAACATTATTGTTTGAGAGTATGATGTGTCAAGTCATATGTGTTCAGATGTTTAAAATACCTTGCTCTGTAAAGTGGGCCAAGGAACAGCAGTCTCGGCATAGGTGGGCAGCTTGTTACAGATTTATTGAATCAGAATCTACATTTAACAAGCTCCCCAGGTGATTTATGTGTCCGTTAAAGACTGAGGTTCAAACAAAGGGTTTCTCTCTGTGTGTCCTTTGTCGGATTACTTAACCTCTCTGACCTTGTGTTTCCCCATTTATAAACTAGTAAAAACCAACATCAATGTGTGACATTCTTTAATATTGTGCCATGCCCAGTGAAACTATTCTGAACAGTGACTACATTATACATTTGGCAAAACCCATAGACCGGGGCAACACAAAGAGGAAACCCTAATGTAAACTTTAGTTAATAATAGTGTATTAATATTGGTTCATAATTGTAACAAATACACCACACCAATGTAAGATGTTAATAATTTGAGAAGCTGTGTTTGTGGCAGAGTATGTCTGTATTTTCCGCTTAATTTTTCTGTAAACCAAAATCTGCTATAAAAATAAAGTCTACTACTTCAGTTCAGAAAAAAAATCAAGTAGAGATGCACAGTTTTCACTGGGAAGAAGTATAAATGCACATAATTTCTTGTTTATGCATAAATGTCTTTCTTAAAGGAAATACAATAAACTGAAAATACTTTTTTTGTCTTTGGGAGGGAGTCCAAATATAGTCTAAAAATGTAGACTAAAAATGAATATTTTCAATATATACGTGCCCTCAAATTGTTTGAAATTTGAACCGTGTGAATGTCTGACCTTCTCAATAATATTTAATTAAATGGGGATACAAAATTAATCATTATTGATATGAAAAACATGTTGTACCATGCCCAAAGTAGGTGCTCTGTAAACTGCAGTGATGATGATGATGATAATGATGATGATAATTTTGTCATTGCCAAAGTTACTTTGTAACTTACAACTAGTTAAATAGTAGTAACTCACAGGTAATAAGCAATCGTGTTTAAATCAAGATGACTGGTTTTCCTCCTTAACCACAAACACTTGCATTTTCAATCCTCATTCCTAAATTAATTATCATGTAACAAGGGGTGTTTTAAGCTTCAGATGACCATCACACACATACAAATAAAGAATATGGGAAAACCTAGGAACGTGGATTTTTTTGCTGGCTTAGAGGCTGAATTCAGCTGCCCGATGACTTCACAGCTGTTCCTGCTGCCCTAGAATGTCTGTCCCTTCAGCTCTGTCCCCTCTGCTGGGTCTGCAACGCTGACTCTGGGATTTTCTTATGAAAATGCCTGATGGGCGGGAGGAAGATCTGGAGGTTGGCTGGGGGGAAAAAATGAGTAATTCAGAGCAGTCTGCTTAGTAAATGCTGCAAAAGAAATAGAAGTAAAACTGGCTCCTGTCTCTGGGGACTCTGTAGAAATGATTCTGACTTATCATGTCACTGAGAAGAGTTGGGGGAATCCAAGACTCGAATCTGCTGGCAGGGAAAGGAACGAAGGGGAAGAAAAATGATAGGGAGGGGCAAACCAAAGGGGGAGTGAACAAAAAGAGAGCGGGAGGGAAAGACGAGCGTCATTTAGGAACAGAGGTAGCGAGCCTGAAAGAGAAAAGGGCTCCAGGATTCAAAAACCACACCATATAGTAAAGTATTTTTATCTCTTTTCCTTCCCCTAGAGGGGATCCCTGACCTGTCACTTTATTGACAGCTGTGCAGTGACCAGCTCTTTCCCAGAAGTTGATCAAAGAAGCTCAAATGTTGCTGTTTCTTCCCTTCCAAGTCAAGTGGTTTTCCTGGTAATGGATTGCCTCTCTCTGAGGTACGTGTAAGTAGATTGGGAACAGATCTTCATTTAGCTCAATCTCAGCTTTGGGGTGAATTTTTTTTTTTTTTTTCCCCCCCTGACATAATTTCAGATATCTTTTACTTGTCTGTTGGACAACAGTGATTAATTTGTTTGGTGATTGAAAATTTCATGCAAGTAGGCAGCTCTAATAGTTTCATTGCTCAGGGGGTGATATTTTGACTTCCCAGGGCAGAGAAGAGCAGTGAGGTTTGATTGGGGGTTGAATTTATTTTCAGTAGCTTCTTAATATACTCAAAGTATTAATCTCATCGAATGACCTCAGATATCTTCCTTTAAACTCTTCCAGTAACCGCAACCTGTCAAGTGTTTAGCAGCTACATGGCTTCTCAAGGATGAAAGACAGTGACTTAACATGTCTGAGCAGCACACTGGAGTTTTCACTTATTTCTCATAGATTGCATTTCAACCAGATGCTTTTGACCAAAAGTCTTGAGTTTTGTCCTCAAATTTTCAGGATCAAAATATTTAGTAAGGAGCATTGCAGCAGGTTTTGTACACAAGGGCATGGGAAAAAATAAATTGGTAAAATTTTGCTGAAAATCTAGCATTTTTTTTTGTTTTTTTTGAAAGCATGCCATAGTATCTATAATATCCAAATTCCTTGTTGAGTTTAATAAAAATTTGTGGGTTGACAGCTAATTACCCTAATAGTTGATTTTTATCTTTAACATGAGAAAGCACAAAATTATAGCCTAGGAAGTTGTTGAAATTTTTTCTTATTTTTCCCTTTTGAAATGGATCGGAGGGCATTGCCATATATAAGGCTGCAAATCCTCATTGTCACTGAAATTTTTGTTGAACTGCCCACCCCTCATGGGGGTATAAAAACATCCCAGGGTGCATGTTACACTGTGTTTAATAGTAACACAATAAAGACTCGTTGGCTGTCTGTTGATGGAGAAGAACACCATTTCTTGCTGATTGCTTATCTTGACATTGATTTCGTGGGCAGTGAATGGGTGATAGTTTGGAAAGAATGCATGTTATGCCCAGCAAGATTGGCAGAGTCTAAGTGCTATGAGTTGTGGAACTAACAGTGCAAAGTACTGTTTACAATGTGTTCTCATTTTGAATGAGGCCATTTTTGGATTAGGGTTCAGGCTTTTCTGTGTGTTTAGAGGAAAGAGAAGCAATAGACAAAGTGGAAAAGCTTGTAAAACATTTGTAGACCACCAGGGTATATATTAAACACTGTAAAGTGCTTCCTGCTTCTTATATTTTCCCTTTCTTTATGTTTATCCGCTTCATCTTGCTTTTTGCCCAATGCAAAGAGAATGCGACCAATTAGAAAAGAAATATTAGAGTTGATTTTTACATGCATCTGTGCCTCCTGGCACTTCTCCAGCTCTTTAGTTCTTCTCATAAGGCTCAATCTGACCCACTGAGCTGACATCTTCTGTCTCCCCCACAGCTCTCCCCCTGGTGAGACTCTCCAGATCTAGCCTGCCAACCCAACTAGGAAGCACCTCTGTAAAAATGATGGAAGAGCCCATAAAGGAGATGCTGGGAGCCCCCAAGTCTCCCATGCCAGTGGCAATGGAGAAGAGCCCCAAGAGCGAAGTCGTGATCACCACAGTCCCCCTGGTCAGTGAGATTCAGCTGACGGCTGCCACAGGAGGTGCCGAGCTCTCCTGCTACCGCTGCATCATCCCCTTCGCCGTGTTCGTCTTTATTGCTGGGATAGTGGTCACCACCGTGGCTTACAGCTTCAATTCCCACGGCTCCATCATCTCTGTCATTGGCCTGGTCCTTTTGTCATCTGGACTTTTTTTATTAGCCTCCAGCGCCTTGTGCTGGAAGGTGAGACAAAGGAGGAAGAAAGCCAAGAGAAGGGAGAGTCAGACGGCTCTCATGGCAAATCACAGAAGCTTATTTGCCTAAGACTGAATGAGACCAAATGGCATACGTGGCCTGAAAACCTGCTGTAACTTCTTTTGTCAGCCAATACACCCAGAACCAACGTGGGAAAGAGTGGACGTGGCACTGGAGCAGGCTAGAAGAAGTGGGTTGGGTGGGGAGTGGAGGGGCTTCTCCTTTGTGGGGAATGGCTTGTATCTTCTTTAATGACAAACTTAACCCTAAGGGCTACTTCTAAGACTAAACTTTCTCTTTCCAGTAAATATTTTGGGGGTCTTGGGAGGTGCACAGCTTTAGACAACATTTGGTTCACCTCGGAAAGTAGCTAAGAAAAGATGAGAAAATCATAAGATGGTTGTGGCACACCAGACACTGGCCTTCAAATGAAATAATCAATGCTCTTAAAAAGGTGTATCATAAAAATCTTCTGAAAAGGGTCTAAATTGCCTCGGACTTTGCATACTTCTGTGAAATTCTGTGATTTTTTTTTTTCCCAATAAGTTGATTTTCTGGCATCTGTTTTTATTTTTCACTTTTAGTAACTCATCACTGGTGGTACATTATTTTGAAGAATAAACTAATATTTTTGTGTTTTAATGTTGGACAGTGGTAGGTGATTGTAATGATGAGTTAGAAGTAAAAAAAAAAAAAGGTATAGCTAATAGATGACATGGGGGTTAAGTTAATATTAAAATAATCCAATGTAGCACTTTTGATGATTTTTATATAAAAGCTTAATGTACATTTTAATCAAAATAATAAATACTCATTGCTGCTGTAACTTCTTAAACAGTTGTTTCTGCTGTAGTTATTTTTTATTGCAGTTCCAGATGACCTATCTTCCCTGGTCTTACTTCCAAGGTGTCTATTGTAGTTTTTGCGAAGGGACATGCCGCTTCCTTTTAACTTTACTGGAAGATTTTCATTTTTATCGTTTTTTAAATTTAATTTATGTTACTACATTCTAAAGGATTTCTATGCCATTATAATTAGTAAATCAGCACCTGGGGTCAAGAATTTTATAATGTGCTCTTAAATGTTTATTACATTTTTATTGAATCAGTCGTCAATTATTTGCTTAACACATGTGCCAGGCATTGTATAGATTCTCAGGCTGCTTATTCAGTTCTTTCTAATACAATGCAAATAAGGTTATTGCTTGAAATCTTCTGTGGACATCGAGCTATTCTACAGCTAGGACTCTACCCTGTAATTCTAGCCAGAAATTTTCCTTGCCCATGTAATTTAAACCACATTAAATTAGAGCAGAAATATAGTTAGGCATAAACCTTTCTTAAAACTTGGAAAAACAAAACAAAAAGTGCCTAGCATAGCACATTCATTGAAAGGTATTCTATCCAGGAATTTAATTAAATATGGCAGGTGCCCTCTGGCACTGACACTGCCTGGTGTTCAAGTAGTATTGGTAAGTGGAAATGCCTTAATGATTTTGGAGGTCAGATGGTGATATGTGCAGCTCAGACTCCTCCCTACCAACTGCAAGTGTATGGGACTGTGCTCATTTCAGTGTGAGCAAGTCTGTGCTTTGACACGCCTCTTTTCTGCTCAAAGACATTCAAAGGCTCCCCATTGTTCTAGGAGAAAATTTCTTAGGCAAGGTTCAAGGTTCTCCAGTCTGATCCAAGCAGATGTATCCAGCTTTCACTCTCAGCCTAACCCTGAAAATGCCTTATGAATTAGCCAGGCCAGAACAGTCACCATTCCTTCATCAAGCTCTGCTTTTCCTGCCTCCTTGTCTGTTCAAGCTTCTGTTTTCCCTCCCTGTAATGATAATGCCATCCTTTCCTCCATCTCAATGTACCCAAACCTGCTTCTTCCTAGAAGCCCTCCCTTTTATATGAAAGTAACTTCCTTCATGGGCCCTTATCTATTCTCTCATGACACCTTTCATTTTCTATCACGTTGGTGGCATAAATGCTCCATTCCCCTTCTGAAGCTCCTTAGAAGTGCATGGTGTATTATTTTATCCCAATGTGATTCCTAATATAATATCTTGGACAGATTAGGTACTCCATAAATGTTTGCTAAATGGATTAAAGGATCAGAAATTGAGAAAGTGAGTTGTTTATCTAGAATAACAATCCATTCTAGTCTCTTAGAATAGTTTAGTTTTCATCTCTCCCCAAAATAGTTCCCTTGACTCCACCTTGCCTCAGTAGTCACTAGGTCTAGGTGTATTTACTACTTTTGTGCTTCTCCAGACATACCTGCCCTTCAAAATGCTTGAAAAGCAAATTCATGAGTTAGTTCAGGCCACCAGGGGGCCTCATGCTGCTACCTGAGTCCCAAAAGAAATACTATGGGAAGACTTAAATTGTAATGACTGAAATGGGGACATCTCTGGAGACAGCAATATCTCTCCTAGAAGTGAGGAGTTGAGGGAGATTCTCCATTAGCCCACCCCTCCCTACCTCCCTAAGCTACTTCACTGTGGCTATCCTGGGGTTCTCCTAGCACAGGAAGGGCTTGCACTGTCTAGGGGGCTCCACTCAAACTAAAAGGTATATACCCTTGCAAAGCTGTAAGACACAGAGATAGTCCTGCACTCTGTGAGTCTCAGCTTCCATGAGGAAATAAACCCAGACTTGAATTATGAATTATCACAATTATCTCATAACATATGTCTTTACTGGGCAAGGTCTGTCTTTACAAATGGTTCTATTGTACATACATAACCAGGTGTTAAATGCATGCATATATATAATACATGCATAAATATATTGAAAAGATAATCGGGACCCAACCTGGGGTATCAGAAACCAGCTGCATTATCCAGTGAGATTCTCCCTAAATCCCATACATTTCAGAGTGCACAGGAACAACTCAACCTTACCCTGAGCAGCAGATTTCTGTGCCAGGTGGTTCTGTTTTTCCATCTCACTGTCTTCATTAATCTAGAGAATTCTGCCTAGAGAAGGTGCTCAAGGAGATCATGTGGATAGTGCAGATGCCTGAGGATAAACTCAGAAGAGCCAGATCACACATCCTCAAACCCACCTCTTCCCCCCCACCCCTAAAGAGAGAGACAAGAGCAGAGATAGAGATAGATGATAGATCGATACATAGATATCCTGGTCTCCTGGGAAGTGAAGGTTATGAACCTGGAAGATCTAGTAAGGAATCCTAACTCTCTTGTTAAACTGGCCAGGTGATTTTGAGACGTTAAGCCTCATCTTTAAAATAAAGCTAATTTTAAAGAAATAATTTTGAATTAGTAAACTATAAAGTACTACATAACTGCAAATTTGCTATTTATAATGATATCTAATGTTGACTTCAGCTTCTTTCTCTACTTAATGTTCCACCGTGTAATTAAGCATCCAGCAGTCCTCTATTTTGATTGAATGGCTCTAACGAGTTACTTTGTTTAACCTTGACATTACCCACAAAGACTTTTAGACTCGAAATAATCTGGAGAAAGCAACTGTTCCAAAAATGAATAATAATTTACATTTCCTTAATATTGTTATAATTTTCAGTTTTTTCATATACATTGGAGTCATTATAAAGGTTTATTTAATATAGAAATTCAGTTATGTACCCTAAACAAAAAAGAGAGATTAGGAGAGAGAGAAATCCCTTCTTGTTTTTTGCCCCACCGACCTGCTACTCAAGCCAATCTTTTCCTAGGCTTCCGTGCAGAAAGAAAGACCATGGTAGAAATCTAAAGAGAAACAAAAGAAGTAAATTACTGGTTTCTGGCTTTTGATCTTCCAAGGGCCTGCATCCTCATGATTTAAGGCTTATCTAAGGAATTTTCAAGGGTGATTTGTTTGCACTTGATTTTTTCTTATTCCCAGACGCTAGTGCTAATCCTGTATAGAATGGGACTCAATTGCACCTAATGTTAGTTGATATTTTCTACCACACTCTGAAGCTATAAGTGTGTCCACTCTGCTTTGCAATTGAGAAACTACAGTTCAGAGAGGTTAAGTTACTTGTTCAAGATATCACAGCAGGTGAGGCCTAACCCTCAAACCAGGAAGTTTATCACACATTATAGTTATCCCAGTGTCTTGGTCCTTTGGGGCTGCTATGACAAAAATATCACAGACTGGGTGGCTTACAAACAACAGAAATTTATTTCTCACAGTTCTGGAGGCTGGGAAGTCCAAGAACAAGGTGCCAGCAGATTTGGTGTCTGATAATGGCCCGTGTTCTAATTCATATAGGCAACCTTCTTGCTGCGCCCTCACATGGTAGAAGGGGCAAAGGAGTTTTCTGGGACCTTTTTTATAAAGGTGCTAACCTCATTCATGAGGGTTTCACCCTCATGACTTCATCACCTCCCAAAGTTCCCACCTCCTAATACCATAACATGCAAGATTAGATTTCAATACATGAATTTGGGGGAAGGGAGCACAAATATTCAGCTTGTAGCACCCAGTTTTATCCTTAGCCATAACTGAAATCATTTCCAGAATGTCTCTTTAGAAAAGGGAAATAATAAAGGTGTTCTAACACCTACTCTCAAAAAACTCTTATACTTGCAGAAGGGTATACAGCTCGGCAAATTTCCACAAACAAACCCGAGGAACTAACACCCAGATGAAGACACTGACTATTGCCAGTCCCCAAAAGCTCCCTTTGTATCTGCTTCCTGTCACTGTCTCTCCAGAGGGAACCACCGTCCTGACCTCTAACACATAGAGTAATGTTGCCTGTTTTTTAACTTCACATAAATGGAATCATACGGTGTATACTCCTGGTACCTGGAATCCTCTGAAAATATTGTTTATGAGCTACGTCCACATGGTCACTCATAGTTATAAATGGTCCATTCTCATTGCTGTGTAGGATTCCATGTACAAATGCATGATCATTTATTTATCCTTCTGCTGTTGATAGACATTGGATGGTTTCCAGTCTCTAACTACCAAAGATAGTGCTTTTGGTAGCCAGCCTCTGAGATGGCCCTCAGTGATCTCTGACTCCGGGTGTTCACATGTTGGTATCTCTCTTGCTCTCCCTCTCTTTTGCTCTTTCTCTTATTCTATCTCTCCAAGTGCTGGGGGAAGCCATCTGTCATGTCACAAGGACACCTGGGCAGCTACGGACAGCCTCATGTGGTAAGGAACTGAGGGCTCTGGACAACAACCAAAGAAGAACTGAGACCTGCCAGCAACTACCTGAGTGAGCTTAGAAGTGATCTTCTCTCAGTGAGTCTTCCAGTGACTGTGTTCCCAGCTGACAGCTTGACTGAACCCTTGTGGGAGACCCACCCAGCCAGGGCTGCATTGTGACTTTCATGGGACCTGGGCATTTTTGTCTTTGTGGACCCCTTCCTCCATTAAAAAAAGAAAGAAAGGATGTGTCTCACTATCACAAGAAGAAAATTCTACTGACGAATATTGTAGGCCCTAGGCATTGAGCCTACTGCACCTACTGGGTGAGTTGGCCCTCTGCCCAGCTAAATTACTCCCAGATTCCTGAGTCATAGAAACTGCAAGATAATTAATGCTTGTTTTGAGTTGCTAAGTTTGGGGTTAGCTTGTTATGCTGAAATAGGTATTATGAAATTTCTTCTGCATGATTTTTGACATACATATGCATGTATTTCTGCTGAGTATAGACCTAGGTGTGGAATCCCTCGGTGAAGGGACAGGTGAGTGTTCAGCTTTACTTCCGAACAGTGTTCAAAAATGATTGAATCAATTTACTCTCCTACCAGCGCTATAAGAAAGTCAAGATGCCTGACAACTTTATCAATTTTTTATGTTTTTCATCCTTTACATTTTAGTCATTCTGGTGGGTATAACACCTGCTTTT